ATATTTGGTTAATCAGAATAAAGAAATATTATACTAATATTAAAAGAGGGGCCAAACCTCTTTTATAACTTGACTTGTTATTATAGCCCAATGCGTCGAAAGAAATTCCTTTCATGTCAATAATTTGTTATCATCTCCAAATAAATTATTTGACCTAATAATTTTCTTTTTCTCGACAGCATTCTTTAATTAGGAGGGTAAGATTGAGTAAATTGGTTTTGATAAATTTTTTTTCTTTTTTACTTTTTTTTAAGGTAGATTTTTTCATAGATAATAAAAAATGAAAAGACTTGACATCTAAGATAATCAAATTGATAATTAAGAAAAGGTGTAATATTCTTTGTAAAAAAGTATAGTTTCCAATTAAAAAGAAAGTAAAGCGCATCTAGCTCAAAAGAAATGGAGAAAGTAACACAATTATGCCATGCGTGCTATTATGCCACTACATTTTTTCCTTTTTAAGTAACAATAAAATGTTAATGTTATAAATAATTGAAATATTTAATTTTTTATAGGTTTAAAATTAAATTAAATAAGAGATTTTTTAAGGTGATATAAAGGTATTCTGCCTAACCAGTAAAAAACATCTATGGACTAAATTGAAAACAATAATGAAATTGATAAAAAAAAAATATATCTTTTAACAAGAATCTTTGCTGAGTCTAAATTATCTTGATGTTATTGGTTGAAAAACAACCTAAACAATTGTTAAAAAAAATTAAGAAAAAAAGGAATAAAATTGAAATAAATATGGAGCACGTGAGGATAAAAAAGGGGGTTGAATTTAAAAATTAAAGCAGCATTTCTTTCACTATTCATATGAAATTAGAGATTCCAAGTTGTTTACTGGACAAAGTACTTTCTTCTCCATAACCAATAGAGTATTGGTCTGTATAAGATAAAGAAGATCATTTCATAAAAATCTCAAAAACAAAACTTGACTTCTTTATACTTAGGCTTAATTGAGATTAGTGATATTGACAGTAACTGCCAAAATCCATGGATTGAAGTACTTACAAGAGTAGACACCAAAACTGAAGAGGGGAATCACAAGGAATCTTTAAGTGTAGATTGCATCATCCTAGTATGATAATCAGAGCAAGATGTATGTCTAGTCGAACTAAATCCTAACATGGAAGTACCTAAATTGAACTCTAAAAGATTATCCTCTAATTGAAACCCTCCTATAACAATTGAGGAACTGGTCTTGGACTTGAAGCCGCCATCCAAGAAACCTAGGCACATAACCTCATCAAGCACCGGCACCATCGCATTCCTGCCATGCACCCTCCACTTCACCATCTCACTTTGCAAAACTAGATCAATGGCAGGAACCATTGGCCCCAACAACATGCTGCTAGGAACTTCTTTTGAGCTAAAACAAAGACCAAATGGTGCCACAGGTGCCACAACTGTCATGTTCAGGAAATAATTATTAGTAGCAGCCTCCTTGTAAGCTTTAATAAAGGTGCTGTATATTGAGCTCTCCAAAGTGGTGTATGGCACAGTTGTGCTTATTTTGGTGCCTCCACCAATACCCTTTTGCCTTAGAGACAATCGCTTGCCATTGATTTTGATGGACTTCACGTTGATGGAATAATCTTGTGAGCTGCCACTGCCATCTGGGCTAGTCACTAGAGGGGTGTACGTCAGTGACCTTGAAATTTCTGTGCCAAAAATTGAGTCGTAACCAGTCTCATGGCCGAATAAAATGAGACCATCTGAAGATGATAGGCAGGTTGCAAATTTTCTCTGGAGCCCAAATTTCGAAGCAAGCTGTGATGGAAGAGCAATTCGAGACTTACCGAGGCCAAGCATTCCTTGGGCACCCCCCGCTAGCCTATTTAAAAGAAATCTGGGTACACAAGAGAAGAGAAAGTGATCTACTATAGTGACTGGACCTGATTTTGACCCGTCAACTGATTGGACGGTCAAGATGTCTTCTACAAGCTCACCTCTTGTTGCTGACCGTGTGATGCAGTTCTCTGTGGAGAGACCACAAGCGGTAGATTTACGTGTAGGCATAACAGCAGAGAAGGCACAACTCATGTTGTTCGGCTTTGCTGCTGGGCACTGGATTGAGCAGCTTGGAATCAGACGCCTAGATAAAGACAGGCGTCCTGAGGAACAAGCAAGCCAAAGAGATGGACACCCCAGATCAAGTACAACCCTGACGGGTTCTCGTGAGGTGCCGTGATGAATTGTGGTCAAGTACTGAAAGGTTGCAGGATCTTTGGTCACAGGAAGAACAAGAAACCTAATTGGTGAATTGGGAATTTGGGCACAAGATGGGTTGGTATTAAAAATGTACATAAAAGAACAAAAGAGAAGAAGAGATTGAATACACGCCATCATCGAATGAAACTTGCAAGAAGATTAAGGTTACCTGCGACTACTGTAGTTTGTATGTCAGATGCGGTGGGTCGACGCAGCTGGGTTATCCCTTATCAAGTAGTAGAACAAACGACTAGCTACAAAGAATGGATAAGGTCGTGCAATAATTTAATTTTGCTGACTAGATTGGTGGTAGCGTCCACTAAAGGATGGGTGTCCAGTGTTTATCTTCTTTCTATGCACGTGTATCACGACTTCGGTTTTTAATTTTCTTTGTAGTAAAAACAAAATAAAAAATCTGCATGCTCTCCTTTTTACAAATTACAGAGTTTGGTGATTCAAAGCAAAATGCAATAGTTCTTGGCAGTAACTGTCAATAATATAAATCACTTCGTTTGCGGGTCTGAAAATGAGAGAAATGGGTTAAGAGTTGTGCGTTTCTAGATGGCGTTTTTATAAAAATAATTTTTAATTGAAATATATTTTTTCTAGATGGTGTTTTTATAAAAATAAATTTTAATTGAAATATATTAAAAATATATTTTATTTTAAAAAATTTATATTAATATATTAAAATCATCTAAATACATTAATTTAATGTTTTTTAATAAAAAAACTTTAAAATACAAAAACAAACTTTATTTTAAGAAAAAAGGATAAAAAAAAATCATACAGTGAGTAATTGACTTAGAAACATATGGCTTTATCAAAGTAGTTGAAGGCTTGCTGCTAGTTTTGTAATATGGTAATTGAGTTTTGTAAAAATACATTTAATTTAAATAAATTATAATTATTAAACTTAGTTAGGCCTGACTAAATGATCTAGTGTCTCGTTGACTTGAATCGTGATTCAAGCTTGTTTTTTAACCAGGTTTAGAATTAACTCTAGTAAACCCAACTAAGTCACTTTCAATTTTATTTTATTTTTTTTGAAAAAAAAGCATGTAGCTTATCATGTTTCATAAAAAACACACCTAAAATGACATTGTTTTGAGAAATAAGAGCCGACCCATCATAGCAAAAAAATCTCAATTTTTCTAAGATTATATACATGTTTTATGTGCGCCCCCCTCAAGAAATAAAAAATATAAGTTTTGGTCCTCCCTAAAAAGTTATTCTAGTTCTGATCTCCCTTGAGTATTTCTTAAAAAATTATTATATAGCTCTCTCACGAGACTCACCTACCCGCAAGTTGAACCACCTAATCTTCAACTCATGTGTAGAGTTGAATTTAGTTTCGGAATTGGTTTGATAACTATAAAAAATAATATATAATCATGTTTTTTTATTTAAAAAAACTATTAAATTCTTTTTAAATATTTCTTCCACAAAAACGCGCTTTAAAATAAACTAATTACTTTTACTGCTGCATGAATAAACAACACACATAACAAGGTTAAATTTATTTCATTTCAAAATTCCAAAACATGAAATAAAAAACCTGACCGAACTGTCGTTGGACTTGTGAGACGCGTCGTCGTGAAAGGAGAGTGATTTGGATGGCTTCTTCTTTCTCCACCGGTCTGTAACTTGAGCGACTGTGTCACCAGTAAGAGCAAGGGAGCCTGCGGTCACAGCTTGCTTTAAAGGGAACCGGTAACCGCCACCCCCGGATGCTGACTCTGAGGATCTCGATGCTTTACTCTGTTGTTTCCTCCTTTTATGCTTCCATTTCCACCCCCCACAAGCCTCTATTCCCACCAGTCCCTGCTTCCAATAGCTAGATGAAAACCAGGGGAATGAAGGGCTCTCAGATTTTCTTTTCTTCATTTTAATTGCCCAATTTGCCCTTCTAAAAGAGTTCCGTAACCTTACAGTTATGCCCTAGATCTTTTTCTAATTTTACAACTGCTAGAGATCAAGGGATAGTGGGTTAATAAGCTCATAAGTCCCTCTGCTTTAGTAATTTTCTCACCGTGGTACCTCATCAATTAATTTTTATAATAAAGCCATCCTACTTATCCTTCCTTGCCTTACACTTAAAATAAGTCTTTTCGTTTAAATCTCAATGTTATTGAGCCCCTGGGGGTTTCTATTTTATTGCATTGAAAGGCTCAATGAATTGGAATTTTCTCTATTAGGCCCAATCATTTTAGGACAAACAAATTATTTATGATGAAGAGGATGAGTATCAAGAGAATGATAAGGAGTTCTCATAGAGCTGGGACCATGCAATACTAAAAACAAGATAGATTTTCGAAAGAGCAATGTGCTTTACGAATAAGTCAATTCATTTGGGCCCAATAAACTCGTTCTTTTTCTATCCGAATATCAGCCATGTCTTTATGTTTTCACATTGAAAATTCTTTATAGATAAAGAAAATATCAAATGAGCTTTTTACTTCTCAAACGTATCCTCCTACATTTATATATAAACACCGGTTTATTAAAATTACATAAGAAAAACACTTTAAATTATTGATTCATTGCTGAAGATGGTTTCAAACCAATAATTCATTATCCCCTAGATTTTATCATTTTAATACTCAATGTGAAAGCTATCAATATTTATATAAAAAAATATTATTAAATCAAATGATAAAGCCATTACTAAAAATAGATGATTTTTTCTATATAAAATGAAAATTAAATTTATATAATAAAAGAAAGGTTTATCATACCTAGCATAAAAGTTATAAGGCATGAAATAGGGGTTAAGTATAAAATAATTGACTAGATAATAAAGTAAAGGAAACACCTCTTTTGCTATATTGACTATGTTGCTGGTAAAATGTGCATGAACACTATAACTTAGTTATAAAACAAAGATAAAAATTGATAATACAATTTTAATGATAAACTAATTCAATTTTATTATCATTTTATAATTTAGTTATAATATGAAATAGTTTATTGGCCTACTTTATACTGTGAATCATATAATAAGTTAAGAATTTTTTTCAAGCCACAAGGAAATATTTGGTATTATTATCAAATTTGATTCAACAGGTCAATCTTGAAATCTCTCAACCTGATTTTTTAACTAACCCAGGTTTAAAATTAACTCATTTGAGAGTTATCTTAATATGACCAAATCAACTTGGTAGGTTTAAAAGAAACTTAGATGATCAATAAAAAATATGGTCTGGCTTTAATTTTTTTTAAGATAACATCTTTTATTTTCTTTTAATATTGAAACAATGATATATTTGATTGATTCACGACTTAAACTTTTTAAACCCACAACTCAAATCATGGACTTCACTGGATTTAGACGTGACCCAGTTAACTTAGTAGGTCTAAGGACAACTCAAATGATCAGTAAAAAGCGTGGTTTAGCTTTAAAAAAAATATATCAAGATGACAATTTTTTAATATTAAGACAGTGACAAATTTGATCGACTAGACTTCGCGACTTAACTTGTCAAACTTAGGATCCAAATCATGAATTCCATTGGTTTAACAATTGTATTTCTCAAATATTTTTTACTTAATGATATAATATAAAAAAATAAGCACTTACAGAATTAAGCATCAATCAAATGTTAGGATTGTCACATGTGGATGTGTAGTGTCAGGGGTCAAGGAGTCGTTACCTAGTTGTTTAATCTAGGGTTACTAGGAAACACGACTATACTAATCTTATCATAAATTTCAAGAGTAAGAAAATGATTGTGGTTAAGAAAGGTATTATCACCCTGACACATCTTTTTTATGTAAGTTGCATTATGTGATCTAAATGTGGTTTAAATGTTTTGATGAGTTTATAATCAATAGTTTGTCATGGCTAAAAAAAAAAAAGATTTACTCTTACGAATAAATCTAGTATTTTGAATTTAGTATAGGCTTAAGTGCTCAAATGAATTCTTATGAAAATGGTTTTTCACAATTCATATATTGTGAAAAAAATACTTCAAATTAAAATTTACAAATAAATAAAATAATTTTGAGAATTTTCTAATCAATTCCTGATATTTAAATATTAGCCTACTTGTAGGTCTAATATTTATACCATAATATTGACCATTAATTTCATGAATTAAAATTTTAGGCTTATTGGAATATTAGCTAAATTATTATTAATTCAATAAACTAGTTATTAAATCCAAAATACATGCAAATATATATTTTGTAAAAAATGCTAAAACACAACATGTTTATATAAGGACACCAAAACATGATTTTTGTATTTTTAAGAAACTTGGTTGTGTGCAACATGCAAAAAAAAAAAAATACTATTATCATTTTTGTATTTATTTATATATTTGAATTTTTGCAAGGCCATATTAGGTCAAAAAACCAAATTTTCTTGAAATAAAACTATCTAAAACAAGGCTAAAGGGTATTTGTCAAACACACTTTTAAACAAAAAAACCTTAACAAAAAATGTTGTAAACCAAATAGGGCCTAATGACTGACCTACTTTTGACCCGACTGGGTTGACTCGAATAGACTAACCTGACTGGATTGACCCGATTGCGTTGACCTAAAAAAAAATCAAAATAAGAACTCAAACCCATTGACCTAAAAAAAAAAAATCAAAATAAGAACTCAAACCCAAAACATATTCAACATAAGTAAAAATATAAAAATTCAAAAATTTCTTAAGAAAAATAAGTCAAACACATAAAGAATGAAGAACATCGAAAATATTCAAATCTAAACCTAACAACATGAACATCAAACCATACAATATTTCAAACAAAAAGTTTTATTCACAATCATACATGAATCAAGAATCAAGTGTTGGTTGATTAGTACTTAAAAGTGCATTTTTATCATGGTTTTATATCATCATTTTGCACTTGAAGTATCAATAACTCCTTAACTAAAACATGTTTTATAATAATATATCTAATAACCTAAGATACCTTTAATTTGTGGTAAATGTTCATTTTAAATGCAAGCCTATCACATAAATAAAAGGATTGATTGATGACTTGAAGAACTTAAATTGCAAGGATAAAGAGATGGCCAAACTTAGAAAAGAGATGTCGGTGCAATCCAAACCGGAACACTGTTCGGTAAATGGGTCATATCTGGAGCTATATATCTCAGATTTAGGTCCAATTTATATGGCATGATTTTGGAAAAATAGGTTTTGGTTCAAAACCAAAATCCTAAGATTAAAAACCAATTAAAACGTGTTGTTGATAACAATGAACACCAGATTATTGCTTAATCATGTATAAAGAAGGTTTATGTGTAAAGAAATAAACAAAAAATGGTCTGAATCAAAGTGCTAAGGAAATGTTTTTCCTAAGAACACTGTCTTAAACCCATAAAACAAAACCTAGAAAACCCAGCCAATTTTCCAAACCTAGAATGACCATTTTTAACCTCTCAAACAAGTTTTCTTAGCTCTAATAAGATACATTATCAAAATCAAGCATACTTGAATCAAAAGACTTACAAAAAAACAATAAATCATCATAAAAATGCATTAAATTCCATTTGCCAAATTTCAAAATATCTTTCCAAACCTTTAACAAGAACCAAATAACACTCAACA